TTAAGTCGCGTAAGCCAAAAACCGCTCGAACTAAAATTCGAGTTTCGGGTCGTGTACAGCTATGCCAAATCTTAGAAAATTCATAAATTCCTCATACGAAGTCAGATTTGGGCATTTTTTTTATGTTATCGGTTTAACGTATACTACAACTTTTGTTTAGATTTCTAAGGCTAAAAAGTATTCCATCGTAAATTCACTATTTACGTCTCCTAGTGCCGTGTCGGTTTTGCCGAAAAACTTCGACGGGTCATAACTTATTCGTTATAACTCGGATTTAGGCGTTCTTTATATGTACGGAACCCTTGTAACATATACTACCACTTGGAAAAGATTAATCCTTCTAAATAATCTTACATCAAAAACTCATTTTTGATGCTTATTGTCTCTAAATTGACTAGCCCAGATCTGCGGGCGTTACAATTTACATCGAAAAGTCGTATTCTGGATCTTAAAATTTCATTTTGGAAACCTCCGAAACGTGTAGAACTGTTCTGGAACACGATGAACTCGTTCGGAACATGAAGAACAGGTCCGTAACTGCTCCGGAACAGGTTCGAAAATTTTTTCATTTCCATTTTAGAATGAAGTGATAACACGTTTTTATTTGTGCAACACAACATGGTTTTTGATGCATCAATTACACTCTCGTGTAAACTGAAAATCGGCGGGGAAATTCTCGCGGCATTCAGAAACAAACCCGAATGCGAGACCATATTACGGAATACATGTTTCGGGAGGTGATTATACATTCCTAATGTAGATGAGGATCCTTTGCTTCCACATTACGTCTTTTGCCACGAAGTTGTCACCGACCTCCGAAGCCAAGTAAAGGAAATGGTTTTTGAGATTGGGGGTTACGAGATGTCTTTTGGAAAAAAAGAATTTTGTCTCATCATCGGATTTCGGTTTGGTGACTATTTTCCTGCTTCTGCATCCGACGCCACCTTTCGTTCCCGTGACTTTCCTATGGTCCCGACGAATGTCTCGGTCAAATTACAACATTTTATGGATGTGTTTAAACAATGACTTAATGAGTTATCAGACGAGGATGCAGTCCGTGTATGTCTTCTATACCTGTTAGAGAAGAGTTTCAATGGGCGGTTGGATAAACAACCTGTTATAGAAGAGTATTTCGCTTTGCTATCCAACCTTGATGAATTCAACATGTATAATGTCGTATATTTTATAATTATTGATTATAAATACTTATCTCTACTAATATCTTTTAGAAATATAATTGTTAACTAATTTTTTATGTGACAGATATCCATGGGGATGATAATTTGGGATCAATTGTACAAACAGATTTTTACTGTATTCAATAAGGTTGACAAGCTTATACATCCAGACGAACTTAAAGCGAACAAACCTCAAAAATGGACCTACGGCCTACAGGGGTTTTTATACGCTTTTAAGGTAAGTATATGATGATTTTTTTTGTATGCTAACATTCTAACTATTATTTTTTTTTTTTTGCTAACATTCAGATATAGATTCTTGAGACTTTTCCGATGAGCAGTTTGTTTGGTACCCGACAACAGAATGTGATCCCTCGGGCTGTTGCATGGTCAAAACTGAGGGAGTTACAAAGACTCTCTGCAATTAGTTTTTACAAATAGACGACGCATGGTTACTTTATTATTTAAATATTAATTTATTTTATAATTTATGATATTTATAATTCTATAATTTTGTTAACAGGGTAATAGAATCGTACCGAAGTTGGAGCCGACGGAAGACGAGATGCGTGCTGAATGGTGGATTGTTAGCTCGACGTGGATTGATCGCCCTGATTTTCCCGACACTGAAGCTCACAGGGCACATTCCCTAACACCATCACCCAAAAACTTCTCTACCCATGAGCATCGAGAATAGAAGGCACATATAGATGATCCATCTCACCCGCCACCACCACCACCGTCAAACGCTGACCCATCAATTGACAAGGACCAAATTATTAGTGACTTGCAGAACGAGGTCGGTCAATTGAAAAATGAGGCCCGTGGATGTCACGAGCAGTTGTGGTCTCAGGAGGAGCGTTTAGCAGAGCATGAGACTACTTTAGCCATGGTTCTGAAACTTATCAATAAGACTTCCGAACACGATGTTGGTACCTCGAAGGGGATGAAGATACATTTTTAATTATTTCATTGTTTACAAGTATACATTATTGAAACGTACAGGGATACTTCAATGACAATGAGTTATGGGAGCATGATTATATCTTAAGCACTCCCAAAAAGCCGCTGAATGTCGACCCTGAACAGCCGCTGAATGACGGCCCTGAACAACCGTTGAATGTCGGTCCTGAGCAGCCGTCTCCGTTTATTCGCTCGTCAGATGTAATCGAGATTCTGCGGGATGAATACAAAACACCTGCGCAAGCACCTCTTAGGCGTTCTAAACGCCAAAAAGTTATGTCCATATGGTATAAGTCGCCATGGATACAATTGAAGAGGAAATGTGTCACACGACAACAACCAGCACCGTTGGACAATCTTGTAGATCCTACCGTACACATTGTATATAAAGAACGAGATGGTTCGTTGTTGTTTGCTCACAATTATTTGATCGGTTTTGCTATGCTTGAGTTTTGGACACGGTTATATGCGGATAGTCATAGAGGATGGTTGTCATGTGATGTAAGTAATATAATTATTTGCTTATTACATACTACGCTTTTAAAAATAATACTTACTTTACTACAAAAAAAATTAATTGGCAGCACATTATGATGTGGATATCATTGCTGCTAGAGCGTAGAGCGGATGATGCTCGGTGGACGGTTGTGCCATCAGCTTTCAACACTGATACATATGACTGGAATGGCATGGCTGACTGATCCGTTTATTTAACTTGGGCAGAGTGTGATACGGTATAATTTTGTTTGGCTTATTTTACCTGAGTATTTATATACTAATTAATTATTTCTAACCTTTTTTTTGTAGCTTTACATCCCAATCAACATACCACAAGCTTATTGGTTTTTGGGTTCTTTGGATTTGAAGACATTCAAAATGACTATATACGATAGTCAATGGAAGGGCGGTTACTGTTCGGAACATGAGGATTGGATTATATGTATGACAACCTGCATCCACAAACTGCTAGTGGGAGTCAATTACTGGGGTACCGAACCAACTTATTCAATCCCACTTGAGAGCTTCAAGATGACTCTGGAAAAGGCCCCAGACGTACCACAACAAATTGACAACAAAGGAGATTGTGGGGTGTTTTTGTGTTGGTTTCTGGAGGCGTTGATCACTGAGAAATTTATTTGGTTGAAATTGTATTGTTTTCCGAAAAAACTGATTACAAGTAGTTTATTATAGGTTGACTTTTTATAAAAATGATGAGAGGGTGTCTAAGGGGTGTCGCTAAAAAGACACCCCTTTTTACCATTTAGACAACCCTAATTAATTTTGAAGTATTTTTATTGGTTGAAATTGTATTGTTTTTCGAAAAAACTGATTACAAGTAGTTTATTATAAGTTGACTTTTTATAAAAATGATGAGAGAGTGTCTAAGAGGTGTCTTATTAGCAGCATCCATTATTAAAAAAGAGATAAAAATGAATATATTTAATATTGGTGATGAATAGTTCGTACATAAATTTGCTCCCCTAGGGCTAGCACTACGCTAAAATGACTGGCAGAGTACACAGGTCCATTGGAAGAATATGGGCCTGCAAAACACAAATTTACAGGTCCTTTTGGAGTTGGGTTTAGACTTTACAAAAGTGAAAAGAGTAACTTACAGAAATGGTCTCTGTTGTTTGGTTAAATTCGTAGATTTGCTGCTTAAGTTTAAAAATTATTAGATTTCATCCCTATGGTCTATGAATATTGTAGTTTTGGTCCCTTATCATTTCTTTTTCTTTTTCATTTTCATTTAACAATTTATTATTATTATTATTATAATATAACAATTTTATTTGTTCTTTATTTTAATAGAATTTTTATAGATTTCTTATAAAGATAATTTTATTTTTTTAAATTATATATATATATATATATATATATATATATATATATATCATATTATTAATTATTAGCTTTATTTATTTATCGTTGTTTTTGTGGTTTAAAAATCTTTTAATATTTTTGACGTCTTATTCGAATTATTCGAAAATATGATTTAATATGTTTTTTTTAATTTTTTACATTTTGTTCGTTCACATTATATAACACTTTTTCTTTTTAATATTTTGTTTGAATAAACAAATTAAAATAGAACTCCGGATAACTATCAAACATCAAATATAATTATTTAATGTTCTTTTTTTATGTGTTTTTCGTTTAAATCATTCGTTTATGTGCTTTACTTTTTTTTATTCAACTTTAAAAGGTTTTATTGTTACTTTTTAAACGAATAATCTTAAATATTAGGATAAACAAATATCATACCGTTTACATCATGACTGTCCTTTGTGTCCTCATCATGGAAAATAGCGTTTGATTAGTCTTGCCCCGTGTAAAAATACAATGTTAGGCTATATTTAGCAAACTAACTGAAAAATTAGTTGTTAACTGAAAAACAAGTTGTTAAATAAAAAGCTAACAGTTAGCTGAAAAACTAACTGGTAAAAATTAATGTTTGGTAAACTAGCTGAAAAATTAACTTAAATATATAAAATGATATAAAGTGACATTTAAAAGAATATGTTTCTATAATTAATTAAATTATATATTTGGAAAAAAAATTAAAAAGCTATAAGCTATTTTGTTGGTTTACGAAACATAATAATTTAAAAAAGCTTGAAAAATAAGTTCACTTAGCTATGACATGCATGACTATTCTTTAAAGCAGGAACAAAAAATAATAAAATTCAAAACAAAATTGAAAATTCTAGAATCCGAAACTGTTCGTTGTAGTAAAAAGCAAAAACTACTAAATATGAGCATTTTATCAGTTTCGCAAGAAAGGTTGTGGGCTTCCCTTCCCTTCCCTTCCCTTCCATAAATGTGGACAAAATAAAGTGGTGATAATTTCACTTTTCACATCACTCTACATTTTAAAAAAACCAATTAAAATTTCCACTAACTTGAGAAATAAAAATAATATACAATCAATCTATCAAAGTAATTGATTTTGTGTTACTTAACAGTTAACCCCCATGTAAATTGTAACGTAATTAAACTATCAAGAAAGCAGGATTGGCCCATTTTCGGCTGCAGCCCTCGCATGTTCATGACCACCATTACTGTTATTATGTCTTGCTAATTGCACATCCCGTGAGAAATGAGTCCTTGCTTTTGCATAAGGGGCTCCTCTTGCTGTTTTTTTTTTAATAAAAAAAAACATAAATCAAATTTATATTTTATAAAACTTACCTCAGTAAATAATTAATTACCTGCAATTTGTTGAGTCCGAAGAATGTTCTGACGCCTTTTCCACCAACAAGTCAAACAAGTAGCGATCAAAAGAAGCCCTGCGCATGCCCCTAATGCGATTCCAATCTTTGCTCCACCAGAAAGGTGGGGCCCACATGTTTGTAATCCAGGTATCCCACAAAGACCTTTGTTATCAGTAAAACTGTAAAATACCATATAACCCACAATTAATAAATAAATAATTAAATTTTATTTATTTAAGTTATTTATGAAAAGTAAACATACTTGAAACTTGCTCGGTGTAAAAGCCTTCCTCCTAGTGCAGCTGGGACTCTTCCTGATAGGGAGTTGCCATTCAGATTCCTAATTAAAGCAAATTTGTTAAAAGTATAATTAATACTATGTTTTATATAATTATATATTTATTGTTAGAGAAAAGAATCTTAATTCTTACAATATTCGAACTGATGTTAAACCTCCAAGGCTTTCAGGAATGGATCCATTAAACAAATTGTATGAAAGATCCCTGTTGTACAACAAAATATCTTTTATTTAAGCATTTCATAACTTAAATATATATATTATCAAACAAATCAAATACTCATTTTTCATTTTTCATTCAAATGAGAATAAATTATACTCACAATACTTCAAGACTAGTAATTTTTCCAAGTGAAGAAGGAATCTCCCCCTGGATGCTATTTCCACTCAGGTTCCTTCAAATTCACAACAAAAATTAAAATTACTGATTAATAATTTTCATTTATTTCACAGCAGATTAATCTTTAAACTGACATATTTTGTAGATGAGTGAGCTTGGATATGTCATCAGGTAAGAATCCTCTTAAACCTTGGTTATCAAGACCTCTGATATCACAATCAAAAATCAAAATACACTGTTACAATTCTACATAATATATTCAGAAATCAGAATACAATTAGAAAGATTGGATAAGAAAAACTTACAATCCATCAATGAACCATTTAATTTTAGCATTATCAAATTGACAATCTACTCCACTCCATGGATGCTGCTGTGGAACACAAGGATCACCATTCCAACTGAAACGAAGAGGAAGACCTAATGCACTCTTCAATTTCTGCAAAGCTTTTACTACAACATAAAGAAAGAACTTTCACTTCATAAGAAAAACCCTTTTTCAAAGCTTTAAATTCCAACAAATGGTTTAAAACTTAAAAGTACCTTCATCAATTGAAGTTTTGGCTTCAGCTCTGACAATTTCAAAGATCTCTATAGCACTGATTATGGTGTGACTTCCTTTTACAAGCTGCAAAGTTATTGTCAAACTCCTCCCACTAACAGGGACTGTTGTATTTATCACAATAGCACTATTAATATCTCCACTCATTTTCACAATATCAATTTCTTGAAATATGTTATCACCATTTATAATGATGTCAAAAACTCGTTGTCCTTCTCCTGTGACTGAAGGATCAATCTCTGCAAAATGCAACCAAACTGAGTAATTCCTGTTTGGATCCACATCCATTGTGTATGTCAAATCAGGCTGATTATCAGTGCTAACAAGTGCTGTTTGATAAAGAGCTTCTGGATAATAGTTTGGTAGATTTGGGGATAACTTGATGCTATTTTTTGTGGTTAAAGGTTTATCAGAGTTTTGACCAAAAGTAGTGATTGAATTCCAGAATCTGTCTCCACCCCAATGGTTCCCACTGTAATCCACATCAAATTTTGGATTTTTAGCACCACAACTGAGTCTTTTATGTGTTCTTAAGATTGTTCCTCTGCCCCAATCCGAACCAAAGTTATATGCATTGTTGCCAACTTGAAGAACTTCGATTGAAAGTACAGCTGGATCTCCATGACCAGTGCTGTGGAAGCAAATTGAAGCAGTTCCATCTTCAAGGAATACTAGAGCCTCAACGAAAGCTTGTTCATCATCATGATTACTCCAACCTGATGATAGGGAGTAAACTAGGGTTCCTTCTACAGATACATCAAACAAAGGTTCGTTGTCAAAAGTGGGATCTTTGACCAATCCGAAGAAGACTCTAACTGAATAATGGCCATGAGGGACTCTCTCTATGTGGTAGCAATTTTCAGGACCCAAAGATAAGGGGAAATAGCGAAGTGTGGTGAGAGGAGGAGTGATGTAGCTTGGACGAGTTGCATTAGCAAGTATCCCTCCACTGTATCCGAAATCTCTGTACCAAAATGTATTTGTTGGTGGTGTGTGGACGTCGTTGCGAGCTCCGCAGCTTATTCTCAGAGCATATGGTGCTGCATTCATGGAAAGTCAAATAGTAGAGATTAGAATCAAAGCCAATGTAATGCAATACAGAAGAAATTTATGTTTCTTTTGCTGTTTAACACAAAGCAAACCCAAATCTTTGACTCTATTTTTTCAGCGAATTTGTTTGCTGGCCAATTAAATGTTTAGTTGGAAGTTGAAACTACCCAAACTTTACAATGATTCAAATCTCTCATCTGATCTCACTCTCACAATCTAACGATTACTGATAAGTTCCTAATTTGTTGATTCGCATCGGATACGACCAAATTTAGGCATAAAAGGCCAAAACGAATCGATCCAAAAGCTCAAAATTGGAACGAATTAGACTAAACCTAGCAAAATTAGCATACAAACAAGTAGCAAGAAGTTAGTGATTTATGACATAGAACTCCAAAGTAGAAGAATGTAATGAAGGAAACCTTGGTAAGAAGGTTTGAAAGCTGCTAGGCAAACAAGGAGGAAGATGAGCAGTGACACTGGCCTCATAATCGTCGTCTCTAATCCTTTTCCAATCTTGCACTTTGAACGTTCTCTCTCTCTCAAACTCACTCTGTAATCTAAATCCTTTCCACTTTCAGAACCTTAAGCATCTAGGGAGAATATGGGTAGCCTCTGTAGAGAGAGAGAGAGAGAGAGAGAGAGAGAGAGAGGGAAAGTCTTGTAGACGTGACTGCAAATGAAGACACGGATTTAATTAATATTCCCCCCTATAACATAAAATTTTAATTATTTTTATATTACAAGATGTAATGCGATTGATATAGTTAAAGTAATAAAATACCATATTATTCATGGTGCAAAAGTTAAAACTTAAAATACACTTCATTTTAATCGTAATTTTGAAAGTATAAAAACATATTTAATAAAATAATTATGCACAAAATACAAGGCTATATATATAAATAAGTGTCTTGGAAAATGTTAGTTAGATCGGGTCATATACTCATTGCTTAGAACCACTAATGAAATATGAAACATTTTTTTTCTTAAAAGTTATTTATTTTCCCATCTAATAGATTCTTGTGACATCGGTTTTTGCCTATTGGGTATATAATTTTCTCCTTTTTAATCTCAAAATAATGTATTTGATTAATAAGTAAAACATATATAATTGAATCTTAATGACAAGATCGGCAAGCATCTTAAATTTGGGGTGCAATTATGTTTATCCTTACCCATTCATATAAATTATTAAATCATGGTGTATACATTCATCTGCTCATACATAGGGGTAAATGTAGTAAGGAGAGAGTGGGGGCATATGCCCCCAATGACTGAATTTTTTTATTTTTTTTACATGAGATGAGCTAAAAATTGTATCCACTTTTCTTACTAATTCATATGGTGCCCTCAACCACAAAATAGATGTGGCCTCCATAATGAGAAGATTGAGAAAAAATGCAGCATTTCTTGGCTTGCTACTAAAACATACGCAGAGAGAAAATAATGAAAAGGAAATAGCACAACTGCACAAAGCTAAAGAAGAAGAAGGAAGTTGGGCAATTCTAAAGAGGAGAAGAGGAAGGGAAAAACTGTCTTTTTCTCTTTCTTAACACATGATTTCACTTAACAGAAAAAAAAAATATGGGTATAAATAAAAGTCAAACCTTCAGTCTCTTATAATATAATCTCATTTTAAATTCTTTTATCTTCTCGAAAAATAACACATTAAACCCTTGAATTTTCCCAACTATACTTGACCCATTTATATTTTAATCCCTTATTTATGCTCTATATTTCACAATATATCACTTTTTAAATTCCATTATTTTCACATACCTTGAAAAATAGCACAGTAAACCTTGAATTTTCCCAATTATACGTGACCCATTTAAACATTCTAAAACTTAATTTAAGTTTTTTATAACATTTAACTCCCCTTAAATATTTTAAATGTAAAATAAACGGTTTGACCAAACCTGAAAAACTATAATCGGTTTGACCGACCTGAAAAATTATTTGATAAATAATTTGTGTCCCCAATATATGTAAATCTTGGACGCCATTGCTCACTCATAGGATACACAAAGCAATTATGGGGCATGTATAAAATTAACCTAAATTCGTTATTGTCTATTTAACATCCCCAATCGATTCATCAGTTTGATTCCTTACGATCTAACATTCTTTGTATTTTTTTTTTTGGTTTTGAGTCCCACAAAACTTATAAATTATAATGAATATTCATATTATAAGATATAAGAGATAGTAAAATAATCTATAATAATAAATATACTAGTATATTTATAAAGGTTAGGATCAGACGCAAGATTTCATACCGGGTGTGGCACGGACAAAAAAATAGTAGTTGCATAATAATAGGAAAAAATTCAAAAGTTTTTACACTGCGTACACGGAAGTCAGACGTTGTCAGTGCCACTGTGGGACACACAGTAGAACCACCCCTAATAAGGGTGCACATAGTTATGCACTATTTGGCGAAAGATGGTGGCGGTACCGCCCGACTTCAACAATACAAGGGGTGACCAGGTTCTCAATCCTCTCTACTATCCGTTCAACGACTAGTTTTTTTTTATTTAATTTCTATTTTATTACCTATATAAACCACGATTAACCACTTCCAAAACCATACAAACATTCTACATTATCTCCAATTTCATTCCAACTCCCTTTTTCTTTTTACCCAAATAGTTTCTTCTGAAAATTCTCATTCATATGTGTGCAACAAATATGTTGATGAAATTAATCCCTTTCTCTACTCATCTTAATTAGAATCATCAAATAACTAAAAAGTTGCAGCGCCAGTGAGTTGCACTAGCGATCTTCAAGATATTGCAACACTGACCTAATTGTTCTCTACCGATCACTAGTATTCAATGAGTAAGTGTTTGGAAAATCACTAAAACATTCATTCCATTTTAAATGAAGAAGAATGCAAGCATGAGTATTAACTTACAAATGGAATATATCTACGTTGTATAACTTTTCTAAAATCATTTGTACATATAACTACCAACAAAAAGAACTAGTTCAAGGCTGTATAATGAGTAACAAGGAAGGACGTGGAATATGATTTTGGTGTACAAAAAAGTCTTTGGGGCATAACAAGGCTCCATGCACATTCTATGAATTAAGACATGTGTAAATATATAATGTACGCTTGCCCTATATTACACAATATGATACTGATAGATGAATATGTTGTTATATGGTTGGTACATGATATCGATCTCCCCAATGAGGAAGAAGTACATGCATATATGATTCTATAATTGCACGGCTTAGAAACCCACCACCAACTTCGATCAGATCTTGTTGATCACATTGAACATGTTTACATACCTTATTTGAATAACTAAGTTTTTTTTTAATTATCATCTTAGGATTATAATAATCTTTTTTAAGTTTTAAATTTCCATTTGGCGCCATCTGGGTGTGTACTCAGAGTTACACAACCTCAAAACGACCCTAGACAGCGGCAATGACGGGAAAGGCACCTGCATCGTTCGGGAGGGGGGGGGGGGGAACGAGCCCACTCAAATCAATGTGGTCACTCGATGGCACAAAGCCATCTGCCTTAGACGGACAAGCCACCACCCCACACGACAGAAGCCACGACAAGCACAACCGACAATCACGACACATCAACCTGAATTCAAGCGCTCATCAACCTGAATGTCGACTAAGGGCACCACTACGATATCATCTGCAAAACACTTCTGCAACTAAGAGACATGAAAATTGTTGTGTATCTGGCTAAGTTCGAAAGGTAAATCCAATCCGTACACAGCTTTTCCCTCCCAGGGGATAACCCTGAAAGGACCAATGAATCTGAGGCCCAACTTGGCCCACTTCCTGAACTGGATGACATCCTTCCAAGGTGAAACATTCAAAAGCATAAAATATCCAACCTGAAACTCGAGCTCCGAACGTCTTCGATCAACATAAATCTTCTGGCGATTTACACGGTCTGCAACCAATCACGCATTTGTTGTATCAACTCAGTAGTCTTGAGTACTACCTCAGTACTCCCCATAACTCGATGTCCGACCTCACCCCAACAAATAGGGGTCCGTCACTTCCTCCCGTTGTAACATCCGGAATTTGAGGATCAACTTTGGGTATAACTCTCCTTTTTGGAATTGGACACGGCGTGTTGGAGGCACCAACACGGCGTGTCGAGATAAGAAAAGGCGCGGGTCTCATTAAGAGCAACACGGCGTGTTGCCTCCTGGAACACGGCATGTTGGTCGCTGGATATGAAAATCTAATTTTCGGGGTTTGCTCCCTATTTAAAGGAAAGTGGAGGCTAGGGTTTGTTCACCCTCAGCCCCCATCAGCCCCCAAGTCCTGAGGGAACCCTAATCATCTTTCCATCTCATTGGTGAGTTAGTGTGGTGTTTTTGGAGCCAAAGAAGGAAGAAGTTGGAAGAAAAAGAAAGATCCGGTAAGCAAGTCCCTCATCCTTTAGCTTGGCTTTCTTCTGGACCTTTGTAAGTGTCCAAGATCCGATTTTTATCATTCCATGTTGCTAGATATTGAGTTTTATCCCTTTTGCTTCTTGTTCTTGAAAGTTGGAATGGTTAGATCTCATAAAGTTTGCAACTTTATGAATCTCCAGGTCAAGGTGACCTTGTAGAGTGTTGGATCTGGCTTATAGTTGAGTTTTGATGCCATGCATAAAGATTAGTTCATAATCCCCTTTGTTGACCTAATTTGGGTTCAATACATGCATTGGATATGCATGTCTATAAAGCACCGACCTTTGGGATGGTTTTAGTCCTAGAACCTCTTCTGGAAAGTATTGGGCTTCAAATTTATGGATTAAGAGCTTATTGGTTAA